AATAACAAAAATAAAAGCATTATTACTTATTATTTAAAATGCACATGTACATTTTTGCGGCCTACGGAAACAAATTATTTTAGAGGTTGGAAACCTCATGGTTCTTAGAGAGCTGTTAATAAATAAGAACACAACGTGAACAGCCAAAGCCCCCTGAAGATAATTGCAGGCGGCTTTGGAACAGCCGTGTTACAAATTAGCATTCACACCTCCTTTCATCCCGAACCGAGAACCGGCATCTACCTACAAAAATATTTCTATCTATTCGTTGTTAAAAAAATTCGGGAAAAATAATAACACAAGACAAGCGAATACGATAAATCCGCTGGGTTACCAGGTTTGAACTATTATCGCCAAAGTTGGCGATGTTTACATTTACCGGGTTCTCTGCGGAAGTGCTTCCCTAACCATTATAATGATTAGGACAGTCGCATAATAATAGTACAGGCACAGGTAAAGCTATGGGGACACCAGCGATGTACCATGGGTCAAATGGTAATGCCTTCCCATGCTAACTAACTATTCAAAAAGAAATTTTTTTTGGGGGGGGGGAGCGCTGTAAGAGTTTACAAAGAAAGGTTGAGGAGACGAGCAAGTTTTCCAAGTTCTGGAGTTTTCCAAGGATCTAGTGTTTACATTACTATCTTAAATCGTGCAATTCCTCCGTACACCTAACATCCAGTATTTATTAAAAATTATGATTTTCAATGCATGATTTTAGCAAAGCGCACGTATGCTGTTTGTTTTTAGGAGCAGGGCCGACGTTACAGACGGTGTGGCTACACCGGCCAAATAAGTTTAGGTGGCAGAATTTAAGAGCAATGAAGTAATTTAAGAGCATCGGCTGCAAAAAGTTTAGTGCTATTCCTTTCGGGTTACTGGGGAAAAAAAAAAAAAAAAACCTTTCCTTATATTCACAAACATTTCTTATATTATTTTCTACGTATGAGCAAAAAGATAAAAAATTCCATTCAGCCAGTAACATTAGGCAGTAGGATACCCTTCAACGATATTAGACACTATATCGATGGTAGGATTTTAATCCCGCTTGAGAAAGGAAAGTAACTAAACTTGCCGATAGAAAGAGTGAGGGCAACTTTATGACGCGATGTATGATTAAGAAAGTAGAGAAATAATTGATTATAGGAATAACCCCTAGTTCGGGGGTTCACAACCCTATGTCCGCGGGTACCATGGCGCCCGCCGCTGTACGATTAGAATAAAAATTTTTTAGCTTTTCAATAAAATTACATATGCAAGTTTACTCATTCTTAATGAAATATGAATTGTGTCCATCACAGATACCAGCACAAAGCGAAATGCGACCGATCTCTTTTTTTTTATATGCATGTATTATTAATTTTATCCAAGTATAAATTCACCTTGAAAAAGCAAATGGTGCCCGCCGTCCAACAGATATTCTAGAATGTGCTCTTAGGGATAAAAAGGTTGGGGACTCCTGCCCTAGTTAATTATGTTGCCAATTAAAATTAATTTTCGCCAAAAATGTGTTCAGCTTTGTCCAGATGTATGTAGCTTTAATAGAAGCACTGCAGGTTAAAATATAATAAATCGTAAAATTTGTTCTTTTTGTATTACTTTACAAGTTTTAATTATTTGATAATTAACATTTAATTACTTTAAATTTTTTAATTATTTGGAAACGAATGTGGAGAAAAACAATATTATCATGGCTGCCAGTTCTTCCAGTTACACCAGGAAATGACTGTTTTTCCATCGCATCTTCCGCTCTCCCCCAGTAGATCACTGAATCTCCCGGTTTAACCTTAACTAAGGAAAATGTTTCCCAGCAATAAATAAAATTTATTGAATTAAGGAAACTGAAATTAAGCAAATCCCATTCTCTCCTACCCTTCTCTTCTAATGATATTCAGAATAATTTTTCTAATTAAACTTTATTTCATCTGAACTGTATTTTTTTCTTTTTACATTTTATTATTCTGTGTCTTATTAAATTTCATTTGATCTAAGTGGTATTAATCTATTATAGACATTTGTAGATTTTTAAATGAAGATTCAAGCAATGTTTAGTCAGTTAATATTTGTATTTAATTTTGTTCACTTCAGTGTATGAGACATTAATAATTTATCCACACAAATACTATGTGCACTAATTATTAATTTTATTTTCATCATATTTAAAAGTACGTTGATAAAAAAAAGCTTTCGTTCACTACTCCAGAATTTCGTAGTTATAAAAGTGTTATAAAATGTAAAAAATTAAATTAGCTAAAGAACATAAAATTTAGAATGTGCAGTTAAATGATACTTAACATCAACATCAAAATTGAATTACAAGTAGTCAATAATCTGAAAGTAAATTTAAGTCAGTCTGGAGTTCCTTTGAAATAATGACGCTGCAAAGCATGAACATTTCCCAGTTTTCTTGCAGAAATCTCCCAATTTTTAAGATTTCAAGGTTTGTAGTTATAATATTGTTACGAAATGCACAGGCACCCTAAGGTAGCTTTCCCGCAAAGCAGTTTTAGGGTTGCCATAAAATGGCAAGGGAAAGCAGGGTTGCCACATTTGGTGACAAATCACCCACTTGGCGACATAATTGGCGATATACCAAGGACAGTTGGAGAACCTTCTGGAATGAATTCTTACCGGTTTAGCCCAGAATGTTCTCGAACACAAACCGAAAGCTATATAAACCCTGCTGGTCCGCAGTCAGTTAGTGTCATGTGTGTGTTAAAGAGTGTGCCTCGTCTAGCGAGCAGTGCAGAGACGTCGATTCAAGTTGACAGTGCCGAGTCGGTCCGCAACGCTAAATTTAATGACCCACTGTAATTAAACTTAGTGTCGGTCGTCGAAAGTCACTCGACGACCACTGAACTAAGTTTAAGTCGAGTGTCATTAAATTTAGTGTATCGCGGTTAGTGCATCGTCGAGAGAGCGTGTTGAGCTCCGGGAATGACTAAACCAAAGAGTCGGAAGCCGTGCTCTGTGTGTCATCAAGTGCATCGCGAGTTGTAGCGTGGAGAGTCTCGAGAGTACGTGGAGTTCCGAGAACGACCAAGCAGAGTCAGGAGCTGTACTCTGGAAAGCAGAGTCGGGTGCTTTGCAGAAAGCTATCTCCACCGTTATTGCCTGACAGTGCTGTGCCGCTGATTGTTCCAAAGTGTTTATAGTAGATCTCCAACGACCGTAAAAAGTGTTATTGGAGCTGTTCTGATTAACATTGGCTAAATAAAGTGTGTTTCAATACTTCATGAAGTGTCGTCGTTATTCACTCCAAATCCACAACGAAGAAAAGAACGCAACAACAGGTGTCAGAAAAGTAAAAACGTAACAACATTAACAGCTGTTAAAAGAAATAAATAATTGCGTGCAGTCTCATAGGTCATTTTTAATAAGCTCACTGACAGTTTTATACAAGTCTTCTTGATTGTTTTTATGCAATGTAAGAGTATATGTAGTATGTGAGCCAGGTTTGCCTTAAATTGTATACAATTATAGCTTGTCGCATATCTTGTCGTAGTTACTTTATCCATTATCACAAGAGCTTTTTGAATGCAGTTTTTGATAAAAATCGGAGCTCATCAAATAGGAAAACCATTGTACTGAAAGCATTAATTTTTCCAGAATTTGGGGGGTGGGGCGAGGGAACCACAATTAATTTTTTTAATGAGAGACACTATTTTTCTTGAGAAAATTTCTTTCAGTCTTCATTGTCACAAGTTTGACAATGAATCAAAATACTTATATGCACATTTCATGAATCAGTATTATGGATTATATTCTTTTTCAAAAAACATTTATATTTTTAAGAACCAAAATTAATATATTTTTAAGTAACAAAATTAAGAATCAGAAACTTTATGTCAACCTTGCCATAGCAAAAGTGCATTTTTGCAAGGTAACCAAGATTAGTAAAATTTTAATGCTCAGTAAAATCTGTAAATTTTAATTTTCAATTTTATGTTTTTAAAATTATTTATGAAATGTTTAGAGATTTGTGAGTACTTTTCATAGCATATTTTGGTAAAATTACACATTGATAAAGCAGTGAATATTTGTTTTAAATGGTGCTGATGTGTACTCTATTTTTTGTGTAGTGAGTATTCATTTCTGGAGCAGTATTTGCTGTGTATTTAGTATTAAAGAAATTTATACACCTGAAACTCGTTGAGGGATTTTGCAATTATTACTACAAAATCTGCCTTTTTAGAGAAAATAGAAATGAGATCCAATTTGATGCAATTTTAAATTAAACAAATTATATATTTTTTGTTTTGTCAATCTTTTATGTACGTTTATGTATAATTTTGAATTTTATTTTAACGTTTTGTTTTGTCTTGACATAGGTTTTTATATGATTTTTAACTTGCATTCTTCAACCTATCATCTCTCTCTTTTTTTAATTAATTAATAAATTAATTTATTTATTTTTTATTTGTGAGAAAATTTTGAGTAAAATTTAGTTATAACTGTTTCTTTTAATTGTTTTCTATGTGCACAGTACATCTACATTTTTTCTGATCCTGACAAGTTAAACTGTTTTCTTTCTGATGTTAAATTTATTTTTGTCTGTTTTTCTTTTGCATAGCTGCCAATTTAAATTCTTTTAACAGAAACTTCTTATTTAGATTTTTTTAATTCATTTAAACATAAATCATGTAAGTTGTTTTCAAAATTGGATCTTACAAATAATATCAGTTATACTACTTGGCTGTAGGTATATGCTGTGCAGAAATTATCCCCCACCCCCTCCCCGAAAAAAAAAGCTGTTCTTATTTTTACTAAAAGTTTATTTTTCTACAAATTAAAAATATTTTGTTGTATTTTGTAACAAATTAAAAACTTTTTATTTTTTTATATAACTTGTGTAATATTTTAAATTATACTGAAATTTTAAAAATTAAATAACAAAATTCCTCTGTTGGCAGCTATGCTCTTTGGAATTTTATTAATAAAAGTTGTTTTAGCATTGTTCATCACAGTCTTTTATAATATTCTCTTAATTACCCTTTCAGCTACTGGTGGCTGCTTAAAGAAGAAAACTGACACTGGTAAAGAGCTAATTCAAAATGAAACCCTCAAATCTTTTCCAACAAATAATGATTTGGTTTTTAAAATCAAAAAGACTGTGTCTTCCACTATTTCTAATACTACTCAATATGAGGAAACTGAACGAGAACACTTAGCAGCTTCAAAATCCCTCAACGATAATGTGGTGTCACAGTATGAAGTAAATAATAATTCTTTTAAATGTATGAATGAAAAAGATATAAGTGAAACAACTAAAACTGAAGATAAAAATGTATTTCATGAAAATCAATACAGTGCGAATGAAAATAATGAGAATGGCAATTTGGTTTCATCGAACTGTTTGACAAGCACTAGTTCTGCAGATATATCCGTTAAGAGCAATTCATTTCCTGTAATATCTCAGAAATCAAATGGCAAAATAAAAAATAATTTTTTAGCTGTCTCACAGGAGATATGTGATAAAGCAGAATCGCAGAAGTCTAAAGTACAACCTAGAGAAGATGTTTCATCTGTTAGTGTTATATCAACATGTACATCAGGGGCAATCAAAAGTCTTTCTGCTGTCATGGAAGAAGAAGCAAATCAAAAAGTCGAGAACTCTGTTGCTACTGGCACTATCAGTGATAGACTGATTTCTGGCTTTTGCAGTTCACAAATGTCAGGAGTAAAACCAGTCACCACATCCAGAGATGAATTAGGAAATGAAACTGAATCTAAGCAGATGAATTATAGAATTTCCACATCTGTCATTGAAAGCAGTTATACAAAAGATATATCAGATCATGTCATAAAAGATAAGCAAAATTGTCAGTTGCCCAGTTCAGTCTATGGTACTTCTGCTTCAAACATAGAAAAAGTGCTTACTGGTCTGCAGGTTAATGAAAAGAGTAATGATGATGACAGAGTTTCTTCTATAGGTAAAATTAGTTTCCTTCAAGAAATATTAGAGCAAAAATCTGCTGAAATAAAAGCTTCTGAGTCACTTCCAGGCCCACCTAATTCCTTTAATAATAATGGAACTATTCAAGAATTAAAAGTAATCAGCAATCTTCCTTCAAGTAAATGTCTCCCTATTCAGTCAACAGATTCATTAGTGCCATTAAAATGTTCAGTCCCTTCCAACTTTTTTGTCCAAAATGATAAAAATTTAACAAATTCTTTAAAGGAGAATAAATTTAAACTTCATATACCTGAATATTCTTCAGCTAATGATGATTCAAACTCTTCCATTTTATCTCTAGAATCACAAAAGTCTACAAAATTTCCCAAGATTACTAGTCCCCAAATTTTAGAACAGCATATAAGTAAGATCATATCACAAAATGCAGCTATTGTTGAAACTATAGATCCGGTTTGGTCTCGACGTTACCTTAAACAGTCAAGTTTAACATCTCCAAGTGTTGAATGCGAATCCAAAAAACATAGTTTTTCAGGTAAGGTCAATCGATCAGTTGAAGAGAGAGTATATTTTCCAAGTGTCCTTGAAGGCTCTACTAATTCCAAATTACAATCTGCACTTTTAGGGGGTTCAGAAGCACATTCAATGATTAATTCACAAAAATTTTCTATATCCCAAGAAACTTCTTTATCAAAAGAGAGAAATTTTTCTCAGTTAAGCAATCTTTCTACTACTGTCCCTTCAGTAAGCATGTATTCTAAAATAGTTTCTGTGTCAGATGATGAATTAAAAGGAAGTGCTATTAAAAGTCTTTTAAGTTTTAAACGTGGCAAATACTCAAAACACAAAAATGCATTTTGTTTTGATAAAGATTTGTATAGCCAACATCCTCAAAATCCTGAAGGAAGCATAATAAAAGATCTTCTTTTGAAGAGCAAATCAAAAGATGGATCAAACTTAAATACTGATGGTGAAGAAAGGTTGCAAACTACTTTTAATTCTTCTGATTTTACTATTGATTTCAGTCATTCTGATAAATTTAATAACTCCCTATTTAAATGCCCTCATTGTTTTGTAGAACTTTCAGATAAATACAACCTTGATATACATATGTCCTTTTGTAAGAATTCAGAAAATTCATTATCTTCTCTCAGGGAAACATCTGATAGATTTTCTTTTAAACAAATAAACGCACAATCTAAGCCAGAGTTTCAGTATAGCTCTAAGATGGAAGTTCAGGATGAAATATCCAAAAGTGAAGGCATTTCAGATAGTGATGATGGAGTTGGCACTATTCTCAAGAAGCAGTTACTTTTGCCTCTGTCCAAAAGTCCTCCAATGAAAAGGAGAAAGGTCTCCGACTCTGTACTTGGAGCGACATTTATTACAACAGAACATTGTACTGAAAATTTAAATGGGAAGAACAATATTAACAGAAGCATTCCTTCAAAATTAGAAATTTCACCACACCGTAGTAGGTCTCAGAGTGTGCATTTATTTGGCGGCGAAGTACAAATTTTAGATGGGGCAAAAACAAAGAAAATAAAAATCAAAACATGCATCCCAGGTGCCTTTCCTTCGCTCAGCAAATTTTCAGATAGCTATACACTCAAAAAGTCCTCTGAAAATTTAGAAGTAGAAAAGGAAGCAAATATTTTACCTGCTGTTATTGTTACAATTGCTCAACCAGTTCATAATTCAGGTGGCACTGTACATCTGCCTACACAAAGATCTTCATTCAGCATGTCCCCTGTTGTAACAATACCTGGTAATATTTCAGATGGGATTTCCAAGTTTGGTAAGCTGGAGACTACAGTATATAGTGATTACTTACGAATTGCTTCACAGACTGAGCCAGTGAAATTAAAAGAATTTTCTGTCCAAAACTTATCATATCCATCATATGCAGTCTTTCCGGGGCCAGACTTTAAATGCGTCTCCCCTATAACCTCATCGCCATTAGCACTCTCCAGCTGTATAAAATCTAAAGATTCTATTCCTGGCTCTGTGGTTGATGAAATATCTCCTGTAAACATTAAAGCATCTGTGTCTCCCAACAGCAAGCCTTTTTACTCTCCCATATTCTCTTCAACAGAAAAAAGTTTGGAACTTCCTATCAGTTCAAAGGAGGTTAAGAACAATCATATTGTACCCACTGTTATGTTTACACCTAGTAGCCCAACTCTGACATCAAGTGATAATGAAATCACTACAGCTAATACAAGTAGCATATCAGAACCAACTAAAAAATTCCTTGCTCCTACAAGACCAACCTCTCTTCCTCTTAAGAAAAAACCATTCACTATGGTGGGCTCAACTTTAATAAGTCCAGAAACTCCTAGACCAAAGAAAAGTTGTATTCAGTTGTATTTGAATGGTCATGCATATACTTATCTTGGACTGAAATGCTCCACACGATCTACATATTGCTGCATTTACCGTTCACAGCCAATGTTTGTTCTGCAGGAAACTAATCCCAAATTATCAATGTATTCAAACTGGCAGGTTGTTCCTGCAAAAGAAGAACTATGTGGCCTCACTCCAGGTCAAATGATATCATTCTATTGTTCCAAACAGCGAAAGGAGCATCAGCCAATCACAGTAATGGCAAAAGTAGGAGAACCTCTAATATTCACACATTCAAGTTACTGGACATTTCGGTCTCAAGACCATGTTGAGCAGCCAAGAACTTGCAAATCGTTTTTAAATAATAGTTTGGATCAAAAGGAAGATACAGAAGTTTCTACTGAGAAATTCCAGGTAATCTTCAAAATTAAAATCTATTCAGTCTTTAAAAAATTGCTTTTGAAAAAGTGTAAGATGTAATGAAAATGGCATATTAACTTCTTTGAAAGGATACTTTCTTTATGCGTTCTTTTTTGGGATAAATGCGATTTAATCTTTTAAGCACTTGCACTGGCAGCTAGTTCATAGATGGGTGTGCCAAATTGCTACACTGTAACTTGTTGTGAGGCCCCCAACTGAAATGAAAAGACTTAATAGAGTCTTACACATGAAATTTTATACAGATATGAATGCAGCACAGAGTCCAAAAACTGGACATTCACTGTTCAGATTGATCTAGACCCGAACCACAAGAATTTTGTTTTGTTCAGGGTGGAAGGATTAGATTTTAGAAGTAGTGTGTTACTTTAATTAATGCTTCATGCATGCACTATACGCATTTTATCATGATAAAATGTGTAAAAGGTCTTGATTTTTAATTTCAGTTTGACAATAAATGAAACACAGTCATTCATTAGCTAAAATTTATATTGATCAATAATTTACTGGCTTTGTAGCTGCTTTTTGCTTGGCATACATCTCCCACTGAAACTTTCTAACAAAGCTCATTGCTAATTTTACTCATACTGAATAACTTCTATTCCTGAAATTAACCTGTTGACAGAGGATGGAGCACAACATATTTACCATAAGTTAGTCGGTTTTGCTTCACATCTGCACTATTGAGTGATGAATGCTCTGCAATAGGTGAGTGAAGGGCACTATAAATCTGCAGTTTTGTTTCTGCTCTTCATCTGGCAGCAGGCAGCTGTAATGTTGTAGATTATGTGCTTACACTGAATAATACTAAGATTATATACAAAAGAATAAAGTAACTTACAATAAGATACAATAAATTAAATAGGTAATAAAATGCAGTAGAGCATATGTTAAGTGTATTATGTATATATAATTAATATATTGATTTAAGAATAAAGTAACGAATTTAATTCTTGATTATGGATGAAGAGCTGAATTAGAATGGGACAAGAAAAGTTCATATTGAAGACACGAAACATCAGTTCATATGTCCGCAAGTGACGTCGCATCAGTTCTTATGTCTTCTTTGCTACGGAGATTCTATAATACAGTACAAAGTCCAAAATTCGGACCTCAAAGCCACAAACAATTTTTTTTTTTTTTTTTGTATGCTTTATGCATGCACATTTGATTTTTCCTTCCATAATAAAACATGTGGAGATTTTCACTTAAAAATTCCGAATTCACTTAGGCACTAAATAAAATACCTCGTTATGGAAAAATAATCATGTAAGCATAAATTTGTGAGATTAATAATATGGCTCCGTAGCTGAGTATCTGCTTGGCATACATCTCAAACGTTCCATTCCGCTTACTGCTGTTCGCTGCGCTTACCGAAACCCCATTCACCTATTTTATATCCCTGATGCTGACCTGGCAAGCCATTATTTATTATATTTTGCTTTCATCACTGCATGTTTCTTTAGTATTTTTTCTAAATATTTTTATATGGCAACCTTTTATGCTAACATAATGGGAAAATTCAACAAAAATTTCTTTTCATATACTACAAATAGATTTTATTAATGAAACTCATATGCCAAAAGATTACATTTAGTGCTATTTTAATTAAAAATAACTGATATGTTATTCACCATAAACACAGAAGTGGCAGCAGAATATGTCGGTATGGGACGGCAGAATTTTGGAAAGATGAAATTTTTGGAATTTGGGAAGCACCGAGCGGCAAAATAAGGGAGGAGAATTTTTTTTTATGATTTAGGGAAAGCACTGGGGTGCAAAGTTTAGGAATGGTGAAAATTTAGAACTAAGGAAGGCACTTTGTAGCAGCGATCCATAGAGACTGCTTCATGCGGTATTTAGCGCTGGCCCTAGATAAAGCGTTAAGTATATGTGTGAGTTTATTTATTCAGGACTTAAGTTTTAAGCATGTGCAAGAAATAAACGTAGATATAGTAAATAATTCAACTAATACAGTTCAGGCTTAATTCAGTACGCAATAGGAGCAAGACAAAATTTAGTGAAACAACTTAGCTTTCGTCGCCAATCTTGTGTTACACAGCCAATAATGTATCACGGACGCTTTAAGCTAGGCTAAAATTAGCTTTACTGATTCTAAGGCATTTCAGTTAATGTAGCGGACTGCGCTGCTCGCTAATCTTTTAGTTTGATCCAGCTTATTATTTTTTGCAGACTGTTATTATTATAGCAAATTTTATAAAAACTAAGCTTGAACTTTCAATTATGTCAAAAAGAGTTTCCAATTCTGGAGCTGTGAAAGGATCTACAAAGCGAAACCATGTTTTGATATCCATTAAAAAAAAGTAAAATTGCTGCGAAAAATGGATAAAGGCATATCCGTCACGAAATTATGCAAGACGTATGGCATTGGAAAGTCGGCTCTACTCTTATATACACCCTAAGATCACCAGATGTGGCGATATGTGTTCTGCGCTGGTTTTTGGTGCGATGGTTTTGGAGATAATGTTGTTTGTATGGCAACCATTTTGACGTTGAAACTTAACTCTTTTGCCGCAGTGGTTTAATTGCTCATTGGTTCTTGTCATGCATGTTTTGAAATGGCCTATGTTGCAATGATAGACGTGGTGGGAAAATTTCAGTCGCGTATTTTAGATTTTGTGGAAAGTAAATTTAGTATTAAAAGGTACGATGTTGGAGTTGTTAACGAGTCTTTTGTTCATGGGTGTGTCTATGAGGATCGAAGTGAATTTTTGGAATTTCTGTGGGACTTTTAAAACGGAGTCTGAAATGCAGAGCTGCTATGAGAACTCGGACGAAGAAGGGCGTTTCTGATAGTTCTTGTGTGGATTTGCAGTCAAATGCTTGTTGGTAAAGTATGTAGCTGTCAGCAGATTTTAAGATTTGGATCATGGTTTTCGTGTAGTGAGTTAACTTTGGGGGGAGTTTTTATCTTTACTTTCGAATTTTTGAATTGCAGAAAGACATATGATATAGCAAAATCGTGGCACTTTTGTTCACAGACATTGTGTGACTGATGAAATTTTATTACCAAATGTATTATGGTAAGTGCATTTTATTTTACTGTTTTTATTTTGTATAATGTTATGTTCATTGTTTTTTACTATGAATTTCTGTTGTTATTTTTTAATTGTTTGTAATTTTAGTTATTTAAGTTTATTTTGTTGATTTGTGCGCAATGCCTAGATTGTGCAATTCGTAGATTTTTTTTAAAGTTTAAACAGGATGCTGTGTACATGGTATTCTTTGAAATTTATTGTTGTTATGTTAATTTATTAAAGCGAGGTGTGTGTAGTTCGTAGATTCTTTCGCTGCGTAGATTGTGCAATTCGTAGATTTTTTTTAAAGTTAAACATATTGCTGTGTACACATGGATTCTTGTTAAATATTTTTGGTTAGAAACTTTACGTTTTTGCTATCTAAATTTTTTGTTTTTTTTTCTGATTTTTAGCTTAAATTGTGTGTTCAAAACGCGATTTTTGCATGTGCAAAAACCGCGTTTTTGGAGACATTTTAAGCTTAAAGTTTGAAATGTAGACAAAAAATTTAGATAGTAATATGGCACCATAGAGTTTCTCACCAAATATTTTTGGCGAGAAATTTGTTGCCAAGCGAGGCTGTATATAAGAGTAGTTCCGTAAAGTCAACTGTAAATTTTGATATTGACGACTTTGTTCAAGAACGGCTTGAGATTAGCACTCCGAACAACACGATTAAGCTCACTACTCCTTTAGAAATAAAAGATATCATGAAGCACACCAACTCAAGAAAGGCGCCTGGAAGTGATAAAATAATGAACAGAATGATGAAGAACCTGCCCCACTGTCTTAATTACTCAGCTGACTAGCATCTACAATGCTTGTTTGACACATTCATATTTTCCAACCCCTGGAAGCATGCAAGCATTTTTCTGATCCAAAAACCAGGCAAGCCTCCTGATGAACCGGCCAGTTACAGACCAGTTAGCTTCCTGTCGACACTGGGAAAGATTCTTGAAAGAATCATTTACAATAGAATTAAGAATATATTGGAGCAGCTTTGCATAACAAAAACAGTGCAGCTATCCTCATGCTAGATGTGGCAAAAGCATTTGACCGTTTCTGGCACAGAGGACTTATTTTTAAGCTCATCAATTTGAATTTTCCTTCGGAAATTATTCTCATTCTCAGCTCATTTTTGAACTCCCGAATTTTTTCAGTGTGGCAAGGAGATTCCAGTTCAAACCCACATCAAATTTATGCTGGAGTCCCACAAGGAGGTATCCTTGGATCAATATTTTATATTTTGTACGTAAATGACTTCCCAAAATTCAGACAAGACCCTAATATTATGTTAGCATGCTACGTGGATGACACCGCCATCATCGCAAAGTCCAGACGACCAAATCATGCATTGGAAAAGATTCAGCAGATTATTCCTGATGTTGAAGTATGGTGTCAACAATGGAAAATTAAGATCAACCCGGAGAAGTCAAAAGTTTTAGTCATCAGAAAATTCAAGACCACAGACCTCCCTCACCTGCAATGTTACGCTCTTCAGGAAAACAGTCCCTACTGTAAATACAGCAAAATACCTAGGAGTCATATTAAATTGATCGTTTACCTGAAATGCACACATAAACAGTGTGTGTGGCAAAGCGTACGGCATTGTGGAAAAGCTTTACCTACTACTTGCTAAGGACTCTGGATTAAACCTTGCATTCAAAAGAAGGCTTTACACTGCAATTGTCAGGCTTGTTATCACATATGCCTCCCTGGCCTGGGCAAGTGCTAAGGCAAGTGAAATTCACCGGCTGCAAGTTTTGCAAAATAAAGTCCTGAAAACCATCACGAACGCCCTATACTATATTAGAAATTGAAGATTTACATCGCGACCCTTCATATTGATTTGTATCAAAGACTACTTATACAAGATAAATAGAAACTTTTAGACATAGAAATAATAGAAAGCAAAGACCAACAGTACAGCTAACTTTGATTATATTCTGAGCTATGAAATTATCCTTGTGCTGCACACTTAATTAGGCTAGCCAATAATTAATTGTTACTGGTCAGTACTCTGTGCTTACACTCTGTGTGCATTTTTCCGCATCAACTCTTCTGACAAGGATTCCAACTAGATTTCGACCAATCATAGTGAAACCCCAGCAGGCTACGAGCATCTTACGGACTTTTAGGAGAAACTACTTGTTCTTGTTTGGACGAGTGTTGCAAATAGCTCGCGTCAGCTCCTGAGCCCAGGCGAAAATTGCACCGTATTCCCTTTTTTCCCTGTTATTTTTCTCCTCAGAGGAAACTCAATCAGGAATTTTCTAATACCAGGCTCCACGTGGAACTCTTTGCATGACTGGGAAGTATTGCTCCAGCAATAGAAACCCAGTACAATACAGTATATCGCAGTAACTGTAAATGACATAAGAAAAAAGAAAAAGGAACTTTTTGAATTTTTTGTGGAAGCAACCTAAACAACTTACATTGAAAGAACTGTTTAATAAAGTAAAATAAATATTAAGCTTATTTTGTAAATTTTGATACCCTTTAGATCATAATTGTTCTTTTTTTCATAAATTACGATTTCATATTTTTAATTGTATAATTTCTGCATGCCATCTTACCAGATTTAAATTGATCATCTAATATCCGGAAAAATTCCAAATCCGGAATTGCCGAAGTCCCGACGAGTCCGAATTTCGGACTTTGTACTGTACTCTGTATAAAATGTCCAGTTAAAATATCATCTGTTTAAGAAGTATTGTTATGCTATAAAATAAGTGCTGTAGTGAATTGTGTTGCCATGAATGATTTTATTATGATGCGCGACACAAATCTTCTCCATGCTGGTAAAGCACATCTATTATCTTGCAGATTTTCTTATTAAAGGATGTTTCTTAATTAAATATCTTCTGAATGCTTTCTGATTGTGGTTTGAAAACTTTATGTGCATCCCTTCTGTTATTTGATAGTTTGTTAAATAGTCCTGCGGGGTACCTGGCTTGCCACATACACAGTGGTCAGTGTTTGAAATCCCAAATCTACAAAAATATGTTGGGAAGGGTCCATGTCACCAACAAAGAGTGTTAATTGTAGAGATGGCAACCTGGCAATCATTTTTTTTTAAATTATTTTTTGCTTTCATTATCACATAACTATCAATTTATGGCAGCCTAAAAAATAACTCATACAGAGATATCTAAAACAATTTTTTTGAAAATATTCATAATTGAATGCTAAACAGCTTTTTTGGGGGAGGGGGACATTTGGCAGTAATTACAGTCTTCAGCCATTTGTGATGTGAAGCATTCAGTGTGTTGAAGATGAAAAGTTTAACAAAAATTTCTTTCCATTTGAAAAAAAAAATGTAAATGGTATTCACAGGCCAAAAGATTACATTTAGTGATGTTTTAATTCAGAATAACTGAACTAAGTATCAAGTAAAGAACTAAACTAGTATAATTCTACCTTAAATTTCATAGCACACGTAACAGAAACAATATAAATTTAGTGGAATAGTATGCCTTTAGCTGCCAAGCTCATCATACACCAATAGTGTATAGCAGATGCTAGCTAAGCTATGTTAAAATGGGACACTAAGTTTTGATTTCCTTAGGATCGTAAATGCTTAATTGTTACATAAACAGCTATTTCGTATTTTTAATTTTATAATTTATAAATGTCATTTTATTAGGTTGACACTGATCTAAAATTTGTAAACGTTTGAAATTCTGTTTTCTCAAGTCCTGGTGAGTTCGAATTACAGACTTTGTACTGTACTAATTTTATTAATTAATAATCTTGTAAATATGATATACAGTCAAAAGTCGTTAATTCGGACACCGATAATCCGGAATGATCTATAATCCGCACCTCAAAGCTAGAAAATTTCTGCGCATGCGTCGCGTTTACACGTGCGCGTAAGACCTTTACGGCTGCGAATATGCATGTGCGCATGCACATAATACGTTTACGCATGCACGTTTAATGTATAACGGACGGTATAGGCTAAGCTAAAATTATCTAATTCAGCTAGTGTTGCAGATTGCGTTGTTCCTTAATTTTCGAATTGGATCTGGCTTATTATTTTTTGCAGCCCGTTAGAGCAATTTTATAAAAGTAAGCTTGAACTTTTGATTATGTCAAATAGAATTTCCGATATATATTTACTAATATGTAAAGGATCTACAAAGCGAAAGTATGTTTCGAAGTCCATTAAACAAAAAGTGGAATTGCTGGAAAAAATGGATAAAGGCATATCCTTTGTTTCTTAACCATTCCGAAATCTGTTTATCAATTTCACGCTGCTCTGCGGGGGGGGGGGGACATCGCCACACGCAATGAACTGGAAGTTGATCTATTAGCACTATCCTTATCTTCAGGGCAGATGTTTTTATTTTATTCAGCTTATAATTTTTTACTAAATGTAGTATTTCATCTCGATGTATTCTGTCTTTGATATGATTTAAATCAAATTCCTCGTCATTATAAATATCAAGAGTACACATTAAATAGTTTTCTGGTTGCAATTTTCTAATTTTGACTATGCGTAATGTATGCTGTACGCATGCGCACGTTGAAAGAAATGTTTAATAAAGTAAACAAATAAATATTAAGCTTTTTTTTTTTGTAAATTTTGATACCCTTTAGATCATAATTGTTCTTTATTTCATAAATTATGGTTTCATATTTTTAATTTTGTAATTTCTGCATGCCATCTTACCAGATTTAAACTGATGATCTATAATCCGGAATCGCCAAAGTCCCGACGAGTCCGGATTAACGACTTTTGACTGTATTTTCCTTTTTATTACTCCTTTGTTATTCTAGAAAATGTGACAAATATTTATGTTTAGCCAATTTTATATATTTTCTTATTATATTTTCAGGAATTAACTACAGAGGCACATCTGGGTAAGGATATTGCAATATCATTACCAGAAAAATCTGAAGCTCAAGCTCATTCAGCTGATGAATCTAGTTTACGTTTAGACACTGATAACACGTTATCTGATGGAGATGTGAGTGATTGATTCATAATTAATACATATTCTTACATTTATTAACTCTGAATTTCCATAAACAAACAGTGATATATCTGCATAAGCACAGTATTGTAAACAAGTTTTTGTAATGTGAATTTTTTTTTATATAAGATGGAGATAATAAAAGAAATATGAAAGTGCTGAAATCTGAAATTTTTAATTTACTTTATTTCAGTTAGTTTTTAATTCATTTGATTTATGACTGTACTACTTTATATATTTATTATTTTTCATTGAAATATTTTTAATAAGCAGTTGAAACATGAAAATGCCTATGCATTTAGAATAAGCTACGACAGCAATACTAGCCAGTATAACTTATAATAAGAAAAGAAAGAAAGTGTATAAATTCAAAAGGAGTTTTAAATGATGTTTTAAAAATTCTTATAATAGTATTTTTTAAACTGTAAAATTAAAGAATTTTAAATGAGGTTTTAAAAAATTGTTTAATCTTGAGTTTGAGGTAGGAGATTTGATCAAATGAGGAGGGGAAAAAAAATAGAAAATAACTTTTTTTTTTAATCCTGTTTGTGAAATGGTACTTAAAAACTTGTATCGCATTGTAAAAGAATCGTAGAATGTGAAAGTGGTTATTTCAATAAATTCAAGTCTCATTTAATTTTACTTTGATACTATTTTAATTACACAAATAAAGCATATATTTTTATCATTGGATAAAATAATATAAAGTTCAGAACCATTTTTGATAAAGGCTCAGTTTCAAATTTGGTTTTGTAATTATATCTTTCTTTCTATTGTGATTGGGAGGAAAGGGGATATGTTTGGAATTGAATTTCAAACTTTTAGTCAGTTGTAGTTAATTTGATGTGAAAAATTTTGAAAACTTTTAATTTTTGTTCAATTCTTTTCATCACAATTAATTTTTTATCCATGTAAAGTTATTTTTGCTAAATAACATTTCTAATACTCTAATATTCGAATGATCATATGGAAAAAAAATTATTTATTATATCAATATTTCATAATTTGTATGTCTGTCAAGTTCACACTGTGTATCACAAAATGTTTGATTTGAAGTGTTATTTTAAAAATTGCTCCTATTTTTGATTTTGTAATTACACTTTTTGTAATAATAGCAGCAAAAAATGCAAGAGAAATGTACTTAATGTATTTACAAAGTTTGTGAACTGACTTCATAGCAAAATGAGATTGGAAGGGGGGAAAAATTATCACCATGTAGCATTTTACATGCATTTCTTTCAATGCCAAGTGTCTTTTACAACATCCATTGAGCTTTTGGATAACTTTGTAGAATTCAGCTGTTTGAAAAGGCTTCCATTTCCCTAATATATACTTTTTGAAATTTTGAAAATGGTTTCAGAAATTAAATGTTAAGGCAAGATTTCATTCCTGGAAGTAGAAATTGACCTGTAGAAATCCTATCTACTGAATAAGGAATCCTGATAAAAAAGTAGTTGACTACTTAAGAAACTTTATTGCTTTTTCGTTCTTTGAATCCATGAGAGCATATAGCAATTCTCTAAAATTAAGCATAAAATACCATTTTAATTTCTTACCATATGCAGACAATACTTTAAAGAAAGTAAGGTAAGGGTGTATGTAATTAGTGAGTGCCATTATATAGTATTTGTCTACTGTGCTCGAATTAGTAGGAAAAATTCAATCTTAAAAGTCAGTAGATGCTCTGTGTACTAAATATATTTAAGATGACCTTAATGTTTGTCTTTTAACCATATGAGCATATTTTAACAAATAGTGTGGAACATTCTGAATACAGATTTCAAGTTAATAGGCGAGTATGATATAAATAATAACAGTAGTAATTGAAAATCAAAATCACTGTCATAAAATTATGGGTCATTCATCATAAAAGATTTGGAACCACTGTATTAAATAATATGCAAGATTTATGAGATTGTGTCAAATAAGTATGTGATTCGATCAAAGTCTCAAATTGGAAGATATATGACTTGCTAAATTTTAATCTTTTGGTTATATATATAGACATGAAAATATTTATTTATTCTTTTATTTATTTGTTTTGGAAATTTTGTATAGGTAAATAATTCAAATGAAGAAGAAGAAGATGATGATGATTGCCAAGAAGATGGTACTGAATCCCTTACTGATTCAAGTCAACCTCAGCCCCCAAAGAGAGTGAAAATTTTTGAAGGAGGTTTCAAATCTAATGAAGACTACACATATGTACGAGGACGTGGCAGAGGGAAGTATGTATGTGAAGAATGCGGCATACGATGCAAAAAGCCCAGCATGTTAAAGAAGCATATACGAACTCATACTGATCTCAGACCTTATAAATGTCGCCATTGCTCATTTGCTTTCAAAACAAAAGGGAATCTTACTAAGCATATGAAATCAAAAGCTCATCACAAGAAATGTACAGAACTTGGTATTGTTCCAGTACCAACTACTACTGATGATTCACAGATTGATGAAGAAGCTTTAGCTAAACAGGTGAGGCCATTTCTTTTTTCCCTCACATATATATATTTGCACCAAATTAATAAATTCAAAAATTAAATATTCAGAAATTAAAATACTTTTTATGCATGTAAGAATGTAACCAATATATTCAAGGAAATTTTTATTTTTAGTAGTTTTAACTTTAAAGGTATAAGCAGGCTAATAAACTGGTGTATTAATGATTACCTTTTTTTTTTTTTTTTTTTTTTTTTTTAAAGGCACCCATCCCTAGAATAAATCTTAATAACAATAGAATATATTTTAAAATTGATAGCATCAGTGCTTAAATTACTCCGGAGCCCTGTTCCAGTACATCTAAAATTTTAATATATTTTAATCCCAACTGGAGCACTAAATAAGCTCTAGGCAGTGGTATAAATATGGATCTGTGAGGAATGCAGCCACATATGAGCCCAGGATTTTGAGGTGTTTAAATAATCTTAGATGTTTTGGAGAATTAAATTTAGAAGGAAAATAGAAATACGTATTCTATTTTTTCTTCCATAAAAATATATATACAATGATTGTACAGAAGCAAAAGCTGAGTTTTTTAAAGTTATAGGTGTGACAATAAGGAGCCCCAAGAGCTCCTTTAGTTTCACCCCTTAGATTTAACCATTGTTTCCATGCATTTCCAGATAGGCAGCATCAGGAATTGCACAAAAGCAAAGCTGCGCTTGTGTCACAAGCAAAATTGAGCACAAAATAAATTGCTTTCACTGTGCTCATATGCATGATAATTTAGTTTTGAACTCTAAAGAGGGTCCATCTTGTATTAACTGTTTAAGATCAAATTTAGAAACGGTACAACATTTGTCACACTTCTAATTCTTATGCTTGCCCTGTTTTTTTTAAAATGTTACGTTCTCAGTTAAGGGCTATGTCTTAAAATATCAAACTAAATGTTATTGCTATATTATTCATTTGTTTTCTTTTCTAGTTTTTGAGAATAATTGTATTTCTAGCCAGAATATGTTAATTAGGAGGGCATTTATTTTATAATTAAGATAAATTATTGCCTAGATAAGAATCAATTTAGATAGATAAAAATCATTATAAATAGATAATCTTCTTGAATTAAATTTTACTGCTCTGTTTTTCGTATTAACTATGAATAATGAAATTTGATAATTTGTTAATTATTGTTTTATTTTTAAGACTTGAGTATTTATGAAAAATGAATTTAAATAGTGACCACATTTTTCATGTAATTATGATCTAATTGCTTTGAATGGGATTCAATTATGTGGCCGTTCCCAACTAGCTAAGAATAATACAGTCAAAAGTCATTAATTTGGACTTCGTCGGGACTTCGGCGATTCCGGATTATCGATTTATCAATTTTTTCGGATTATAGATCATTAGTTAAAATCTGGTAAGATGGCATGCAGAAATTATAAAATTAAAAATATGAAACCGTAATTTATGAAATAAAGAGCAATTATGATCTAAAGGTTATCAAAATTTACAAAAAAAAAAAAAAAAAAAAAAGCTTAATATTTATATGTTTACTTTATTAAACATTTCTTTCAATATAAGTTGTTTAAGTTGCTTCATTTTTTGTGCTAATACTTTCTCTTTAATTCTATGAACAGACATAATTGCTTGTTCAGTTACAAAGTTCCACTGTTCAAGTCCTGTAATTGCTGTGTCGAGAATCCTGACTAATTAATTTGTCAATCGAAATTTTTTCGTTTTCAATAACCTCTGTGTCACTTTCTTCACTATCGGAAGCGAATTATAATGACGAGGAATTTGATGTAAATCATATCAAAGACCGGAGTATATCGAGATGAAAACTACATTTAGTAAGGAATTAAAAGCGAAATAAAATAAAAACATCTGCCCTGAAGATAAGGATAGTGCTGACAGATCAACTTCCTATTCATTGCAAGCCACGACGTCCCCCCCCTCAGAGCAGCGTGAAATTGATAAACAGATTTCGGAATGGTTAGAGAAACAAAGGATATGCCTTTATCCATTTTTTGCAGCAATTCCACTTTTTGTTTGATGGACATCGAAACATGCTTTCGCTTTGTAGATCCTTTGGCAGCTCCAGAATTGGAAATTTTTTTTGACATAATCGAAAGTTCAAGCTTACTTTTATAAAATTGCTCTAACAGTCTGCAAAAAGTAATAAGCCGTATCCAATTTGAAGATTAAGGAACAACGCAATCTGCAACATTAACTGAAATAGATAATTAGATAATTTTAGCTTAGCTTATACCATTCGTTATACATTAAATGTGCATGCGTAAACGTATTATGAGCATGCGTAAAAGTATTATGCGCATGCGTGGATGCATTATGCGTTGACGAATGCGTGGAAAGTTTGTAGCTTTGCGGTCCGGATTATAGATCATTCCGGATTATGGTTGTCCGGATTAACGACTTTTGACTGTATAAGATTTGGAACAAAATATGAATTCAAGACTTCATGATTTTAAGAGCTTTCTAATAACTTCCAAACTTGTATTATTTTTTTTTTAATCAATATGGTTAAAGGCAGCAGTTGTAACTGCTTAGCTCTCATATGCAAATTTTGATTATGTAATATATCATTTGTACATATGTCGCACAAACTGCAAAGATGTCATTGATACATATTCTTTAATTTTTGTAGCAATTTACTTTAGCTGATACAAAATAAGCTTCGCTGATCTGGCAGTCCACCTAGTTACAGTGGCTGCTGGTAATACAAGTAGATTTTTATCTCCGCTGATCAGGTATTAATTCTGATTGGTTTCACCTTAGGACGGAAGCCTGGTCGGCAGCAAATGAACGAACAAAACAAATTGCATTTTATTATTTTGATGGCCTTTGATAAGGGCAGTCTAGAAGGACTTTTAAGCTTCTTTCATTTCAGCTACTCCCTTGTTCAGTCTCCCTGCGACCCAATGCTTTCAAGTCATTAAAGGCCATTAGTGATTTTGTACAATTGATAGTTTGACATTCAGGCTCCTTTTGAGAGCAGTTTCTGAGTTTCTGGAGGCAAGCTGTGGCAAAGGCTGAAAAAATAAGATACAAGATATATCCTCACCCTCTGTAGTTCATTAAATGTTCCAATAAGGAGATCCAAGAAATGCTTTTGCGTTATTGCCACATGTCAAATGTTTTCCCGTACAAGAAAAGGAGTTAATTTAGGGTGAAGATTAATAATGCTCCTGAGGACACTGTTGGCTACATATCCATTGCTGCTTTTAAAGTTAGATAATTAAATTATTTACATTCTGTCATATAGTATAATATTGAATACCATTAAAAATAAAAAATATAAATGTATATAGCATTTGATATTGCATTTCTTTCTGCTTAAAATTCTAAGTCGTTCTTTTTAGAGTTTCTTCTTCCCCCCCCCAAGTACCAGAATAGCTGATTAGATAATTTTATGCAGCTTTCCCAGTTACAAGAATAGCTAATTAAGGATATTTTTGTCATGCACTGTAATTCTAATACTTATTTTAATGTATTTAATTTTTAAAAAATTACTTAAGTTCTTTGCCTAATATTTAGCAGTAATTTTTATTGTTATCGATATATTATTGGATATAATAAGATAATTAATAATCGAGGGAAATATATTTTTTTAATTGTTTTATTGTGCTAGTAACGTTAGTTATAGTGACCTCAAGTATCCAACAGCATAAGAACATTATAACATGTGGCCATTACAGCAAAAATCACATTAATAAGCAGTTTGGAGCTTTTTGTACAACTCATTAGAATAGAAAAATCATTATAATGAGTATTGACTAATGTACTAATGCTTCCAACATGCCTATCTTAGAACCAAGATACACAGACATCCTCTTCCAAAATCAGATAAAAGTTAAAAGATTCAACATTCAACTATTTAGATAAACATTATATGTCTTTCTAAAAAAAAAATGAAAGACCTAACAAGATTTTTTTTTTCGAAAATCGAATAATTTATTTATCATAAAATCTAATAGCTTTAGAAGCTTTCCATATCCGGTATAAATGAGAGGAAATAAGCATAGTTCTTTTAGTTTGGGTAATTTTCATGAATATTTAGGGAATTTTATTTAATAATTAATTGTTTACATGTTTACTATTAAGCTGAAATTAAAATTTAGTATTTTTAAATTAATGAAAAATGCTCTGTGAGAGAAGTGTAGGAGAGAGGTCTGTAAATAAAATGGAAACTTTTTATTTCATTTCTTTAAATTGTGGTCTAAACTTTTCCCAGTATTTTTTTGGGGTGAGGGTGAAATTAAATCACTTACCCATATTCTTAAATTTAAAAGCATCTCCAAACAGTCCTTTTCTATATTCTCTATTGGAGTATTCCAAGAATTCCTATTGTAAGATAGTATGTCTTCTAAGAATTTCTAAGTTCCGCTACTTGATTTTGATTATTAAGTCAAAATCAGGTAGCGGAACTATTTTTGAATCCTACATTTTTTTTATTAGTCTGTAATTAATCTTTTTTTAACTTTTTTTTCACCCTTATTTATTTATCTATTATTTTTTTTAATTTTATAAAATTTTAAATAAGATGCATCCTGGGCCTATGGTTATAAGAAGCCATGTAGACTTCATACCATTACAACTGGTATTTTAACCTAGGTTTGTTATCCTAAATGATAAATTGAGGGCATAGGTGCAATTGTGGTTTCTTCCTTAAAGAAGATACATGCAAAATTCTTAGCTTTCAACTCTTAGAAGATATTAACAGTGCATGTTATTAGCAGTGCATTTTCATTTCTTAAAGATTTATCATTAAGATAAATAGCCTTGGTTATATCATTATAAATGTTTTATCTATCAAAAACAATATTGTTTTATGAAAGCTAGTTCTGAAAGTTTTCATTGATTATTTAATTTTTACTATAATGCATTTATTATTAATCTTCTTCTATTCTTTATTTAAATTTATGATGTAGCTTTTGTTTTTATACTTTTTTAAATTTTTGATTACTCAATTATTTGTTGTTTTAACTGTTATTATTTTATTTATACTAATTTTTTATTCATAATTTGTGATTGTCTGTTTTAGGGCTCCTCCAGCACTTCTAATTTTAGAAATTAAGCCTGCCTCTAAATTTTATAGCAAAACCATCATCTAGCTGTATGCCAAGATAAAATGCGCTTTGTTGTTTTGTTATGTAATTATTTTGCAATATTGCTGGAAAATTTATCATTATCATTAATTTAGCCTAATTGGTTAAGATTTGTATTTATTTCTTTATTTTGCATTTAGGACTCTGGTACTACTTCTTTTAGAAATTTAAGCCCTGGATGGCATTATAAAGTAAATTATTAATTATTTTGATGTAATTAATGTTTCCAAATTACCAATTTAAATAGCTGTATTATTATAGAGCTGATTACTAAAAAAACATTTAAGATATTAACATTTGTTGAGTGAAATATATTTCATTTGCATATGATCAATGTCCCCCCCCATTGTATTGTTTATACTGAAATTAAGGAGTATGCCTTAAAATTAATAGCATATTAGATCAAAGAAATATAATATTATACTGAAGGCTTTGAATTTTTAAGTCACTGGTCGAACTGTCATACATTTCTTTATTTATAAGCTATAATTAAAAAAAAAAAAAATGGTGGAGCCATGTTTAAATCTAAATCTTTTTAAATTTTGTTTAGCGTATACAAAGAATTTTACTTATAAACAGCTATTAAGTAGAAAAGGATATTTTTATATGTATTATTTGAAAAATTATCTTAGACTTTATTATTTACTTGCTCGAAGGAGCAGATTGAAAAGAAAAAAACCCAGTTTTCTGATGGCGAGGATGCTGATGATGACGACGATGATGACACCGAGGAAAGTGAAGATGAATGTGAAAGTGATGCAAGTAGCATGATAGTTTCAAATCAGAAATCAAGGTATGTTAGTATGTGCTACATGCATGTCTGGATTTGTATTGTTATAACATATATACTCAAAAATGCAAAAAACAATGTGTTTTACTTATTAATATTTCCAAATTACCAATTTAAAATAGCTGTATTATTATTTTAAATAAATCGAGCTTATTACTAAAAAAACATTTAAGATATAAACATTTTCTGGGAGTTGCAGATCGGAAGGTACTGATATATTTTATGAGCTTAGCCAGTATAGATATTGTATCACTAAAAGATGTGTAGTTAGATTTGTCAACTTTGGGATTGCCATATGTTCCTTTATTCATTTAGATAAGTTAAATATTTTTCTGGCATTTAACTTAGCAGTCACTTCTGGTATTTTTATATGCTTCTTAAAAATTACATCGCTGGCATGTATTTTTTTTTTTTTTTTTTTTTAACTCAAAGTAGCTGCTTTGAGTTGATCTTGAAACAGCAAATTATATTACATAAGCAAAATTCAACCTATTATGTTTTTCTTAATTTTAAAACTGAATTTGGTATGATTTACTTACGCATATTTAAATGTAGAACTATATTGCTTCCCCACCCCCATTTTGACATTTTTGTTATTGTTTGTATCTAAGAACCTGTATTGAATATCTTTCTTTTCAAGACTTTTCAAACCTGATGATAACTTGATAGTCATCACATAGTCTCTTGAAATGCTAAAATCTTAATTTGAAATCAATGCCAAATTGAGTCTGAAATTTTACTGAAAATAATGCAGTGCAGTGTTTAAAATCATGTAGCAAATTTATCTAAATTTGTCTGAACTCTGGCCTCATGGAAATGAAAAGGTTAATTAATTCAGTACTTCTTTACACAAAATAATATCAAAGGAGAATTTCTGAATATTCCAGATCTCAATGCTGTATTGTTATAAGAGCAAGTTTCTCAACATTCTGATAACTTAACAAGGTGCTAATTTGTCATTAACCTATAGTATAACACAGTGTGTGATTTTCTATTAGGGCTATTTAGAAATGGAAAATTTTAATGTGTATAGTATTTTCTGCACTAGGAGTGGGCAACAGCAGATATATGTACAAACAAATATTTATCTACATTTTAATAATGTACAAAACTTTTTCTTCATAAAAATTTAATGCATCTATTTTAATTCTTAAATAATTGTTGGGGCAGCACCAGCTTAAAACTTTTAGAGGCCCTAAGCACTGAAAGATTATAGTATCCTGTCATATATTTATGTCTGGTTTTCTTCATTTTTCTCCATTTAGCTACACCTTACATTCCATGGTAAAACTGCCTTTCCCGAATATCTAAGGACCTTTTTTGGTGCCTCCTTTCTTTGATGTCTTAAAGCAAGTGGTTGTGTTGCTTAATGGTTAATCCAGCTCTCTATTAGAATTGTCTTAAAATTAGTCTCTTTGTAGAGGGCTTTTGAAATTCTTAAGTGAATTATAATAAGTATAAAGAATGTAATGGTAGTGTTTTTTTTTTTTTTTTTTTTTTTTTTTTTTTTTTTTTTTTTTTTAAGAATGTTGACCAATGGGCATTCTAAAAAGTCACAATCCCAAGAAAAGCTGTGTGCTGATAATTTTGATGATAACACGAGAGGAAATGAAACGGTTTCACAACAGAGTGTAGAACAAGAAGCTGCTAGAAGTCTGCTTCATTTATCTGCTCTTGGAGAGCCAAGTCAGTGGTCAACTAGCACAGGTAAATTATTTATGTTGCTTTGTTTGTTAAATGCAAATTAAATAACTCTGAAGTATTCTGAATATTTATTGCAATGTGAAAGCACTTTAAAAAATAAATAAAGTAATTACAGGTAAAAAGAAAATAAAACTGAATATAAATTAAAGTAATAAAAAGGGGGGAAAACATAATGAAGTAGTGAACTGTTAATGAGTAGAAATATAAATGAAGTGATTATTTATTTGTACCTTATTTAATGTAATGATAACATTATTTTGCCATCAGGTATAGGTGGATATCTGGTAGTATTATTTTGCCATCTTGTATGGGTGGTTTAAAGATAATCTTTTTGCATGTGATAAAAATAAACATCAAAACATTAGAAATTGAAAAGGATTGAATAGAGATTAAGCAAAGTTAATGGAGGCTTTAAATTTATACTACAGGGGCTGTTTTGTAATCACGTCCAAAGAGAGTATGCATAAAAATTAGGATTAATTTAAAAAAATGTATTATGTACAGAAGTTAGATACATACTGTGTTTTGTTATTTGTTAACAAAACATATTATGTATTGCAACTAATAATAAACAAGCATAAATAATAATAAACTAGCTCTCATAAAATAATTATGTATGTTTATTATTAGTTTACTGATACATTATTTTCTTCTAGGAATTTTTATTTTTTCTCCCTCTTTCGTAATAGTCCAGTGAAACTACACTCGTATGGGTCATGCTAAATTGCAACCATATGCACATTGCTCTGAATTAGGTACAACTAACCAACTATTCACCTAGCGCATTCGCTTGGAATCAAGCCCGCGTCAAACCCTCCAGTATTCTTGAACCAGTCCTCTACTGGTGATGCCGGAAACATGTCAGAAAGTTCACAAAGCATTTTGGCATCTTTTTGATGTAGTTTTGCTAATGAAAATGTAGTGTATTTATTTTAATCAATGAATGATGGCATTTTTTTAATTAAGACAAATTACAGATACATTATTTTAGAAATTTTATTATGGCATGCAAAACAAAGTTTTCAGTAGTAAAAATTGTTTCCCCCTTTGAAATAGAGGGATCTGTGTCTTTTTTTCCTTGAAATCAATAACATTTTATTTAAAACCTCTGCAAATTTAATATTCCTTTATTCTAATTTTAAATGTAACTTATAAATTTAAATATGATTTAAAAATTTATTAGTTTTGAAAGAAAAATATATTAAATTTTGTTTAAAATTTAAAGGACTGTGAATGTAATATGCTTGTAACATGCTTTTCTACTTATATGCAATTCTTTTAAAACTTCTAAGACTTATGTGAAATATTAATCATTATTCAGACTCATATATTAGACTAAGTATTTTATATTCAATGAATATATATTACTTAATTTGTACTTAAAATGAAATATTTCAGTCAGTTATCAAAACACATATTTTGGTGTTTTGCTGTATGTCCATGTAAAGCTATACCCTATGTTTCAGGTGATTTAACTGATGTCACTTCACCTGGGGATACCGAAACTGGATCACTAGTAACCAGACATGAACGGTCACTTTTATCTCCACAGTTTCCACCACAGTCACCAGCCTCGGTGATTTTTTCTACCACTCGGCAAAAAACTGGTACCGATCAGTGGTTATCTACAGAGATGTTAGGGCATAGACCAAGATCATATTCTGCTGATATCCCAATGAGTGGTGGCAAAGACCTCCTAGCAAAGTACAAATTAACTAAAAATGTAGGATCAGATGCAACTGTAAAAACATCTGTTGAAGAATCATCTGAATTTAGTGGCAAAGAACAATATGCCAGGAGATATTCTATTTCTGTAGCTAGGGAAGCTCGTAAACCACAAACATTGCAGCCTCCTGCATGGAGTGGTAGTGCATCTGGATCTCTTAAATGGCCTGATCATGAAACTTCAGATCAGCCGATGGATCTCAGCGTTTCTAGAGATCTTGGTAAATACAAGCCTATATATGGCACTGGCATGACAGGACCATTGCTTAATGTTGTAACTCAAGATGAAGGTGTGCCTGATGCTACACTAACTACTAACTTGGATACCTGTCTTAGTGAACCTTACCAGTTAAAGTCATTGCCTGTTCTTTCACCTCAAGTTCTTATAGAATACGAAACTGGTGCTGATAACAGTAACAGTGAAACTCCATTGCTTCCTCTCACAGATGAACCAGCATCTTTTGGTACTTCTGCATCAAGGTCAATATTTTATCTTCAAGATATTCCTTCTAGTGATGTTGCTACAAGAAAAGATACAGATGCTTCAGAAGATCCACCTAGCCCTGATATATCAGATTACACAGCATGTTCACCTGCATCCCCACCAGCATTAGATGAAAATAGTTATTATTATTCACAAGACAATATGGGACAAGGCTCAGCTGCTTCTGAAGAAGTAACTCCATCTTCACGTTTCCATGCAGAATTTATTGTTCCCAGTTCTTCATCATCAGGCATGGAAGAAGGAAAATGTGTGTGTCGAATTTGCAACAAAATATTTGCCAAGTCCAGCCATCTCAGATTACATGTTAATATTCATTATTTTGAAAGACCATTCCGCTGTGACAATTGTGCGGTGTCATTTCGTACTAAAGGCCACTTGCAAAAGCACAAGCGGTCTGTAAGTCATTATAATAAAGTTAATATGAATTTAACCTTTGGCACGCCAACTGTAGATAATCCGCGACCTTTTAAATGTGCAGAATGTAAGATAGCTTTTCGCATACATGGTCACCTTGCCAAGCATTTACGGTCAAAAATGCATATAATGAAGTTAGAATGCCTAGGTAAACTACCTTTTGGTATGTATGCAGAAATGGAGAGATCAGGTATTAGTTTAAATGAAATTGATACAACGGATTGTAATAATTCTTTAAAAAGCCTTCAGGTTATGGCACAAAAACTTTATCAGAGGGATCCTCGACGAATGCGTTGGCAAAATTCAGAGCAAACTGTTGATGCCGATTGTTCCATTTCTGCCCCACCAGTTATTAATACTCTGATTGATCCTATGATAACAATCAGTGAACCATTAACTGGAACATTTGACCCATCATGCACAGCAATTGGTATCCTACCTACTTTAAGTGGCTCCAAATCTGTGTCTGACGTGGAAGATGTTAAAAGGGAACCCTCTGAAACAGATGCTTTGCAAATGGTATCTGCTTATTCTGATGGAGAGTGTGCCATTTCTCCATTATCCCGTTATGTAATTTCTCAACCTGTATCAGGATCAACTCAGAACTCTGTTAATCGAGTTGAAGCATCTCAAAATGACTCAGCTGTATCTTTGCACCGTTCTGGTACCTGTCACATATGTGGCAGGCTTTTTAAAAGTGCAAAATTCTTACAGGTTCACTTATACAGTGATCATACAACTTGGAACACGACTTCAATGAATGAAGTAACACCATCAAGTAGTTCATCTAGTATAACTGATTCACAAGAACTGATTTGTGATCTCTGTGGACGACAGTTTTCAAATCAAAAAGCGCTTCAACAAGTAAGCAAAATAATTGTAAATTTTAATTTTTCTTTACAGTATTCAGTACTTGTTCACAGTAACTGCATGACCTTAGTGAACATGAATCGTATTATTTCGAGCATAAAATGTTTAGCAGTCGCTCTTAGGATGGCATCAAACATATCACATGAGGCTTATTTTTTCTACCACATAAAATCTGAGAGTTCAAGGTATGATGAAATGTTGCTTGATATTTTGCATTTCCTCAGATGTGCTTTACAGTCTGTACATGCATGCCAGTTTCTGGATCAGTGAAATTGTAAGAACTAAAACAGATTGGTTATATTCATTGGTGAATATAACTCAAAATCGCATGCATGGATGCGTTTCAGTTCTTCTGTCTTTATTTCATTCATGAATGTGGTAACATTGATCAGAAACCCCGGCAAGAGATGTTGCTCTTGTTATAGCCCTCAAATATCTATTGGAGAGGAACATATGAACATGCTTTTGCTTTCTGCACAATGCTGTCACTGCCACCAATTTTTTTCATTTTATACTTCCACCGTTTCAAACAAGCATATCTCTTGTAGATAATTATTTCAAAAATCATTTTGTCTGTCATTCATAACTGATTTTGGCAGAACTTGATTAATCTTAGTTCTTCAAACCTGCAATAAATAAATTGTAAAGCTGTTGTATATGTCATGTGGCTTCCTTGAAGCCGATTTTTTACACACATTCTAGTACTTTTTTCACATGTGCGACTGTTGCACTTCCTATAAATGTGTTATTACTTGAAATTTAACTTCATTGAGTGTCAAAGATTGTAATATCGATTTTCCTTAGTGTGTTGTAATCATGAAAATAGTAGGCAGATTCCGTTTTATTTGGAGGTTATTTCCACAAATTCATAACATTCAAGCATTATGTAAAAGCAGTAAAAACAGAATGCACTGAGCACTGAACTGTGGTTTTAAGAAAAATTTTGCTGAACAATTAGTCATTGGTCACTTCAATTTACAACCAGATTAATTGCTGGTGTGTAGTTAATATGAATGTTTTCAATATTCAAATTATTGTGTGTTGAAGATTTAATATCTCTTTAAAATCACATGAAATAATTTTCGTTAAAAATATCTTAAATAAATTTTAAAAAAGGCATATCTTAAATATAAAAAGAGATAATAATAAATGAGTATGAAATAAATTAGGTTTCATGCACTTCAAGTTTGCTTCTCCAAATTGGCTCTTGTTTAAGTCATACCAAGTGATTAAAAATTCTCATCTCAAAAACACATCAGAAAGTATCCTATCATTGTAGGAGATTATAAGAATTCTGTTGTCTTTCCTTTCTTTGCATCAGTTAGCTATAAAACTGCATGTATTTTACAGAAATTCAGCTTTTGGATCGGTTTCCCCCCTTTTGCCAATAAAATTAGCAGTTCCATACCCCATTCTAGATATAAACTTCTGGGATATATACAGAATTCCTTACGTGTGGTTTAATTTACATTGGTCAAACTAAGAGAGCCTTTAAATTCCACATTAAGGAGTGTGAGGCATATGATAGGAAAAAAGAAATGTATAAATCCTGTGTTGCCAAACACTGTTGATCAGAAAAAATCATATTTTTCATTTTTCTTCGGCCAAGATTATTCAGAAAACATCTTCCATTGGAAACAGTAAGCAGATTTTCTAGAGATGTTTAACATTCCTAAAATCTTTCAGTTTTAGTAAATACAATCTGTTTTAGTTAATCAATTCCAATCTCTCTCTACCCTCAGCCCTTAAGAAAATTATTTCATCAGTAGAAGGTGCCACTAGCTTCACTTCCTTCCTTTCATTCTTATCACCTTATGTTATCACTAGTTTCTCTTTTGTCATTTCCACTTATGAAGCTGAAGAAGTATTTTCTGTATTTATACCTTTGAAACTAGTCCATCAGATTTATGAATATGCTGATTCTTATTGTTTTAACTCCTCATTAATATATTTGTCAGGAATTACTTATTAAAAGAAAAGTATTTGCTGCTGAAAACCCCAGCATCATGATTTTTGAAAGACTGCTGGAGGAAAAAAAACTGTTGAAATGTTTTATGAAATAAAAACATTCTCTTATATATTAAACCAACACGTTAATTAAGCATTTGTAATGTAATAATGTGTAATCAGTATAAATCATATGCTAAATATATGTGTCAGGAATGATAATAAAACCTCAGAATTATATATGCTTTATCATTGGATTTCTTAGAAAATGTACTTAGTATGTAGTAGTAAAGTTGATGAAATATCATTTGTAATAAATACATTCATTAAGTACATAGTGTTAGCAACTGTGTGTCTTTTTTTACAACTAAAAATTGCAGCTTATGTTTCAAATTCACACTCCTTCTATTTTTTATAATCCTGAAGTAAAGCTGAAGATTGCTTTCCTTTAATAGATTGAGTTTCCTACTAAAACAGTATTCAGTGCATATCTCAAGTCTTTTTCATAATACATATCCTGAAACACCATCTTGCAGCGACATTTTCCTCATCTTTGTAATTAAGGCTAAATGAAGCACATCTTCAGTTAACATTGCAATTCATGTCATCTGAGCCAAATTGAGTTAATAATTCTTTTTTAATGGATTTATTCTGTGCTTACAGAGATAAATAGATCAAAGTTGCCTCTGTGGTTTGTTTTGTAAAAAAAGTTTCTACCTCATTGGAGAAATCTGAATTTTATTTTGATTTGGTAAAAGGGCAGATCTTTTGACAGTAAGCAGAATTTGCAACGTAGCTGCATAATTTTTTCTGCATCATTTTCTATTGTATATTTAGTTGAATTAAATGAATATAGAATATCAAACTATTTTTGCATCTCTTTTATTACTTTCAGATTTTAAGTGCTGCTTTTATCATCTGCATGAGCCAATCTCTTATCTCTAAATTTCTCAGATTTAGTGTCTATATTCAAATTGTGTAATTTCTTGTTTCTCAGGTGACTTGTCATCCTTTCTCATTTCATCATGGATCGTTTCATTTGTCAAATAAAGCTTTGATAACATTTAATGTTGTGATAATTTATTGTCACGTGTTTTTAATTGATACACTATTATACAGAGTTTTAAAAGTATCACAAGCTAAAATGGGTTAAAAATGTTGAATAATTTTGATTTCATGTTGAGCAAGAACATTTTATTGCTTTTATAATGTGGAGTATAAATATAAGGCAGCGTCAAAGGTGGAAAAAAGACATTTAGTCAAATAACCTTGTCTGATGCATCAGTAATAAATTTCTAAAATGCTGATTTATTACCATTTTTGATATAGCAGTTGTTTATAACATTTGTATAAACTAAACAATTTTATAGTTTATACATTTTTATAATTTGATTATTATTTATTTTATAATTTGATCATTATTTATTTTTATAATTTGATTCATTAATTTAAAAAAAAATTTTACATCATTTCAAATCTAACCAGAAATTGTCAAATACTTTCTCTGTTTCTCAGTTGTGTATCAACTGACTGAGTATATGAAGCTTTATGAAGTATGTACATCAACATATCTCAATCTGCAGTTGGACAGTCATTGCCTTTTAAGTATTTGATTAAAGAGAGTGAAATCACTTAATTTGTCATCGTAGATAAGGAATATGTCTCTATGAAAATATGGCAGAATGGTGTGTTTAAATTAAACTTAAAAAGAGTAGTAATGAAATGAAGCACATTGTGCAGTGGGATGCTGTCAGTGTTCTGGAGGGAATAAGCTAGTCTTGTAACATTTTATGCATTAATACTGTCAAGTATATATTTGTCTAACATTAAAAAATATTAAAGGAAACATCATTTCACCTTTTCTGAAATTGTGCAGTTTGAGTAGTATCAGATTTTTGTGGCAATAGAAGGAGCTTTGTGTGACCAGTTTGATGCAAGGAAGGACAAGCTGTCTTTTACCTGTTCTCTTAACTAGCTTAAATGCTATTATTTACAATAATAGTTCATAGGAAATTTAATTTTTTCATCATTCTTTTAAGCAAAATTAATTCAACTTGGGCCATAATTTAGTTTATCTTTACAAAAGCATTCTTGTGATGTGTAAAATAATGCAAAGTAAAATATATTGCAGTAGTTTCAAGTTTAAATATGGAGAGGGAAGCAGTACAGAAAGCTAGTCCTCGCATTAGAAATTGTCACAGAACATGTGCAAGCAATCTGTGATGCTGTTTTTTAACAATGTATGCCTCAGCTCTCTGAGTTACAGCCCTTTGGTCTCAGTTACTTGTTCAGCATGTTTTTTGAGGTAATGCATGTTCAAAAGACACAAAAATAATGACAAAAGATAGATCTACTCCATATAATTCTCATTTGTACAAGCATGAAACATGATACCCATTATTTCAAAAGGGAATGATTTATGATTTAAAAATTACTAATGATATGCAAAATAAGATGTAATCAATCTATTTTGCTGACCTTCTGCTAATTTTTAGATGAAATTCTTTTAATTAATTATTTATTTTGTAATACATCCTTCAGATTAAAAAAAATATTAATTCTTTATGGTAAAATTATTTTGATTTATCCAATCCTTATCCAATTTTCATAAATTCATCCAGACATTTTAACCATTACTGTATTCATTAGTTTTCAAATTATATCATTAATCTTCATATTAAAAATACAACAAACACTCATTTGTTGACCACATTTTTAAGATCACCATTTCTGGAGGAAACCAGTGTTTATGTAAGATAAATACATACCAGTACCAAATTTCATCTGTCTGAAATAACTACCACTGCTACTCATGCACTGTCATCCTAGAAAAAGGATAATAATTTTTCTTAACATACTCCCCTTTGATCAAAATTGCGGCATGGTGCTGATTTGCTGGTACATATGTATATGCTGGTGAAAGTTAGCTGAAAAAGAAACTGAATGGAAAGAAGCTGTCTGTCAGGTAGAGCTAGCTGTTAACTGCATGTTGCAATAGTAAGTGGAATGTTTTAAAATAATCCATTTCATGATTTTGAATCTTTCATAAGATAGAAAAATGTAATTAAATGTGAAGAGGACAATATGATTCTTAATAAATTTGCTGAGAACTGAAACATATAAAGCCTTGAATTTAAACAAGACTTCACCTCTAAAGAATGTTTTACTGTTAACTGTTCTCCAATTCTGGGTAATACTGAAAGTCGTGGAACTGCTTCAAGGCAAGCTAGCTCAATAATAAACAGTTTTCATAGTAAAGTAATTATTCATAATTTGATTCCTTAGTTCTGCATTTCTAATTTGTAGTATCATTAGCTATGTTAATGTAACTGCTTCCATTGATATGCATTTTCCTTTCAACCCTTGGCAATTGATATATATATATATAAATAATATAAATTCAGGATTAAAGATGCAAATTAGGGCATTGAAAACTAAAATCAAGTGCAAAAGCAGCTAAGAAGAGGTAAATAGTGTAATTAAGAAAATAAATTAAACCACTACTTGTCAACACACACAAAAATAGTTGCAGTTGTAAATTTTCAGTTCTGTGAAAATTGTGAACTAAAACAAATTAATAAAAACTTAATAAAATTAGAGTTTGCAAAAGTGAGCCTTTGGCTAAATATGTGTATATATATATATTAAAAATTTTTTCCTTTTTGTAAATAAGTTTACAGTTTATGTGGATGTCTTGTCTTTCCTAGTAAGCGTTTGCTGATTCAGTGTAATCTTTTATCTGTAATAAAATGTGTGTCTGATGACTGAAGAAGAAAAATTTAATTGATGTTTAATTTTTTTCATAACAGCATTTGCTGTCCCATGCTCAGCCTCGACCATTTGTTTGTGAGATATGCGATGCTGGTTTCACATCATCATCATCTCTCATTGCCCATCAGTCAACACATCAGAATAATTCATAGCTTCCTCAGTAACAAAAAAGCTGGCTAGTGCAATTAAAATAATGTTTCAAGTAGGTATCAGATCTTAGTTTTCCTACTGTCATTGTAAGATAGTTTTATATGTAAATAATGTCTGTGCTTTGTAAAGTATGTTTAAAGTTATGCATAAAATGTGTGTATATGTTTATAATATATATATGTAAATCATTTTTCATTAGTATGTATGTGAGAAGTATCATTTGTTATTTCTAAATTTTCCTTCAATTTACTGAACAATGTAGGAGAACGCAAGCATATGTTTTTTGTTTAAATGAGTACAACTCAATATTTCTTACTTCATTTTAATGTTATATAGTTTTTTTAATGAAGAAATAAACTAAATGAAGATCTGTTCATGTAGTATTATTTAATCATTAATAAAAAGTCCAATTATCATTCTTATTAAAGAACCTCAAGGGATATGATGTTTTGAATACATTGTATTCTCATATAACCCATATATGATGTCAATCATAATGGTCTCTGTTTTTTAATATATTTTTATATATTTGGCTATGAATAAGATAGAATAACAAAGAATAATAAATGGCAATAAAAAGAAAAATGTTCAAAAATTTTTATGGATCTTAAAAATTGTTAATTTAATTGCTGTGGTTACAAGGTAATAATTCTTAGAAGTATATCAGTCCTGTAATTCATTTCATAATCCTTAGAAGTATATCAGGCCTATAATTCAATTCATTCCACTTTTGCCCACCATTTCTTGGCCTGCATGAGCGATAATCATAACTATCGTAACTACTTAAATGTTAGTTATGATAATATTCTGTTTCACCTCCATTAAATGCCAGGATAGTTAGATGGAGGTGTGTTGTATTTTCAGAGGGTAAGTCATGTCTGTCTTAGTGAAAAGTTACTTAGTGAGCTAAGTGGTAGTGCAGTCATGCATAATATATATGGAATTCTTCCTCTGCAGTTGTGTTAAAAGATGAAATGTTTCTGCTATCACTGCTTTAAAATTAAATTAAACTGAAAATGTTGCCATGACTGTCACTCGTGTGCGTAAGGCAATGTTGCAGTGTATATGAACAGAATTGGATATCTTTGCAATTTCATAAGGCCACATTTGTTAAAAGTTTATAATGTTTAGGGGAGGGTGCTGAACATTTCTTTTCCCATTTAATTGCAGTGATACATCAAAATCCAGGAGATTATAAGAAGGCATCATATATTTAAAATCCTATGGGATAGTATAAATAATTGTAATAAAAGTAATATGATTTTACAGCCTAGGTATCAGATATTGGTGGTGGTTTTTAATGTGGAAGAGTAATAAAAAAATCAATTTAATTCATTTTACATAAAAATGAAGAAATTGGTGAAAATAATGTAATGAAATTGTATACTGTTTTATAAATGAGTTTTTGAAATGTGATAAATTCAGAATTACATTAAATAAGCTATTATATCTGTAGCACTCTTTAGTCTGGCATTATATCCTGCTCAGTATTTTGCTGCAGTTAACAATAGCCCATCGTTTTAGGAAGATAAACAAAATCTAATCTGATGGATATGTGTGTAATGTGTGTAAATCATTTCTCAAAAATGTCTATGATATCTTAATTATTGCTTATTTGGCCCATTTGCCCTGCGCAAGCTGACTACTTGTGCAGGGCATATGCTAATGCACTCCGTGTCCCAAAGGTCAAGAAAGCAGAAAAAGGGCACTGCACACCGTGGCCCACTAGGGCTGTTACACCACTGAGTTTAGTTTAAACTTTGCTAACCTAAAAAAAGAAAGATGACATTTCATAAAATTTGCAGTAAAATATCTCTATATATATGTATGTAATGACATTGTAGAAAAGTTGATGGCATAATGTAGAAATATAGCATTTCATAATTGTTGATCCATGATAAACAACAAGCTTGGCAGCTGAGGCGAGTTAAATATTCATTTTTATTTCAATTGACATTTGTGGCCACAATTCACTTGTCAGACTAATCATGCCTATTTCCAGAATATGTGCTCTTTTAATATTATTGTGGTAGGAAGAAAACAGTGTAACAGAATCTTACCAGCAACATACTTATAGGTAGAAGCACATGGTTATCCAATATGGCAGCTTGTTGAGAGAAATTAGACAGCTTCTAAGTGGCTTTCAGCGCAGGAAATTTTAAGTTTCGAATTAGTTAAGTCATATGCTATGTGATAATCTAAGATGATGCAGTCCAGAAAAGGTTATTACTATTTTGAGAACAGAGAGAGAAGTATCCAAATTAAAATGAAGAATTAAGAGACGATCACTACTTTAAATTATAATTTTGATTCATATATTTTTTCTGGTATTCTGGCCAGATTGCAAAATATATTTGAAATTCCAGGAAGAGGATGTAACCAAATTTGAGTAGTAATTTTGAGTTTTATATTTTTTTTATATTACATATCTATATTATGTCCCTTCCCTGTTATGTTCCTATGTGTCCTAAGCACATGCTTTTTAATAATCTATCTAACCCTTGATAAAAGCCAGCATTATTAAAAAGAGTCAGGGCTTTCGACTTCCCCAACTGTATTTAAAATTTTTTCTAGTATTAGAAATCATGTTGAGGGAAGGTCCCTAACTTTTCTTTTGTATATAGGCCGAAGAATTCTACTTACACCACTATCTGCAAAACTGTAGTAAATGTATGTTGAAAAATTTAACTGTTGTAAGTGTTAACATGGAATTTTTTTTTAATATTTGAATGAATTAAGTAAAAATTTATGTAAAATTTCTAACATTATTTAGCTTTTCTTATGTAATTTTCAATGGTGTTTTTTTTTTTTTTTTTTTTTTTTTTTAATTCATTTTGTGATTTGAACTACAAACTGTATTTTGTGTTTGTTTGTTAACTGTTGTAATATTCTTTTGCAGATGAAACTGCAGGGGGAAAAAAGCTGATTCTGATGAAATTGAGATTTTGCCAAGATCTCTTGTACTAGCCCAATAAAACACTTGAGAATTTTGGGTGCTATTCATCTTAATGAATGTAACTTAGGGGCTATTAATGGACAATCTGCCACATCATGGAAATGCATATGACATGAAACTGTGCAAATCCAAAATGTGCATAGCCAAAGTTATAACCTGTTGTTGGATGTTGTTATGGCAGTTGCCAAAAGTAGAACGCACAATTTTAATCATTTTCTGGACAAGTTCTACTATTGAGTTTTTATGTTTTCCTAACCCTGTAATAGTTTAAATCCAAGTTGAATTTTTTTAACAGCCTTCTATCCACTTTCTGGCATATACTTGTATATGTAAATTTAAATTGGGCAGACTGTTAATTCAGCAGTGGCTCGAGCAAATTTTACACTTTTATGAGAATAATAGTCTCAATGTTGAATTATTTTAAAGATATATTATTTTATTTATACACTGTTCTGAAACTTGTATGCAGCAAGATTTAGTTTTGTTTCATTTTTGTGTAAAAATATTTAATTGAAGTTTTCATTACAAGATCACTAAACATTTTCTCCCTTTATGCAGAAGTCATTTTTACATTCTATATTTAATAAATGCGGACTAGGAGTGTTTCCTGCATTATCACTGTTCGTGTTGTTTCCTACCTGTTCTAGACATTAGTGTGTCTGTTAATCTTGCATTACAATGTGTAGGACTGTTACAGTTGGTAACTTTTACAGTTTTTCATTAGCAAGTGTGATTTATCTGGGTTATGATTGTCATTAGAACAGTGCCATATTGTTTTAACTGACAAAGTTTTATTGCTTTCATTTTAAAAGTTGAAAATATTCATAACCTCCTTTGATTTAATTTTTTAAGATGGTAGAATATGGAAAACTACTTTAAACTATTGTTAGATGGAATGAATGATTTGTAATTTAATATTTGTTTTTCTATACTATTATGCTAATAGTTAATATTTAATAATGATATGTATTAGAATAGGTCGTACATAACAAATGAGGTATTAGCCCACACTGAAGAACATACAATTGATACTAAAGTTGATAACAACAGTATTTATGTTGTTTAATGTATTTTTTTCAAAGATACACTGAAGAAAAATAATCATAGTTTTCTAAATTAAAATTTGTGAATTTTAATATTTAAAAAATAATTAATGGTTTACCCTATGTTCTTTCTATGGTTTACCCTATGTGTAACATGAATACAAACTTGTTTCCACTTAAAAAGTCATCCATGAATTCCTTCCATCCCCTAAGCAGATAGCACTTGAGTTGCTTTGCATAGTCAATTAACCTAAGGTTTAAATAAATATGTGCCAAAAATCTTCTTTTGGGATCAGTTGCATAATTAATTCTGTTTCTTTATTTATCTATAATTTTGAATTCTTTAAACTATATGCTTGTGCTTAAGAATCTGTGGCTTGGTATATATATATAAGTTAATTTAAACATTTTGCTGATTACTTTGTAGAGTTGCATGTAGCACTCTTCAGTTATTTTTAGATTTCAATCATCAGTTATTAATTAAGATCTTAAAAAATAAAAACCTTAAAGTAGTAATATATTGTAACTCTATTTCAACAACAAAAAAAGGGGAAGCTTAAAGTGTTTTATATTTTGTTTCTTGGCATAGAAATTATAACTTCTTCCTCAGGCTCCTGTGTCTGGAAAATGCACTTTGTTACTGTACTGTGTGGTATCAAATGATCATAGGGTCAAGGGCAGGGGTTTTCTAGTTTTTTTAACTACTTTTTGTTATCAGCTGACAGAACTTTGCAATCTTGTGTGTATTTTAAGAACAGATTAGTTTTGGTGTATTGAACCGAATTTTAATTTTTATTTATATGATATAAAATTGTGCATGCAAAGGATTTCTGCTAATCTTGAACTCTAAATTATTTTTTGGGGGAAGGGATAGCTTATTCTGTGCATTCAAAAGGACAATATCCATTAAAATTAACTGTTAAATCCACATAGATAATGTAAATAATGTAGAAAGAAGTATTAAATTCAAAGTTTTAGATCACTGAGGGCAAACATTCTAGACAAAATTTGGTAACACCTTTTATCTTGAAAGTTTATTTAAAGAAAATTATAGAACAGAAGGTCAGCAGCCCAGTTACAAACCAAAGAACTAGCTCTTACTAGCTTTTGCAATAATAGAGCAGCTTAAGCAACGTGGCTAGTACAGAGTTTTGCTCTGATGATCTCTAGGTGGTACAAAGCTATCACTGAAATCTTCTGGAATTGCATTCTAGGCACCCTAGGTAGGAAGATTAACTTGTTTACAGAATGCTGAATTAAAACTCAGGCAGTTTGGATATGGATGATACAGATGTGTCCATTATGTCCAGATTAAACTTTTATGCTGTTCCTAATAATTAAGTAGCTGCTAAAGTATCTCCCTGTCATACCTCCAACACCAAATTCATTTGATCACTTTGGCATCATCATTTTTATTTTAGCAGCAGTGTTCCTGAGTAATCAATCTCAGGAATTCTTTTAATAATTTTTCTAGCAAGAAAATTAGAGATGTTAGTACAATATCAAATGTAACAGAGATTAAAGGTGTAGACTTCAGAATAGTCTTTTTTTCCAAAAGTAACATAACCATTTCATCAAATGTAAGTACTGTCTGTCTTGTTACTCTTCTACAGATCTTCCACTTTCCTCTATATCACCAATCTGTATTAACATAGATAAAAATTTAGATAAAGCATTGATTTTTTGTCTAATTTTATATTTTTTAATGATTATTTATTATTAATATTATATTTCAAATCCTATAATTATGCAAGATATGGTATTTTTTTAAACCAGATGAAGATTATTTTTAAACCAGCCTTCTTTTGTAAGTGTCACAAAAGTAGCCAGTTTCCTGTCATCTCTTGGGAATATTGGGCTTAGGACACTGTATGTGATTTTTATTCTTAACTCTTTCGCATCGAGAGACGACCAAATCTGTTTTCAACAAACATCGAAAACGCCCGTGTTTACGAATTTGTCTTGGAATAGTTTTCCTTTCCCCCTTTTGCGGTTTCATCCATTCATCCATTGTGCGCAGTTTCACCTTAGGGCCGGATTGCACCTGCGAACGTCAATAGCTTTCCGTATTTCTCCTTTATTTGCTTCAAAAGAATGATTGACATGTCTTTTAACAACTCGTGAAACCAATGAGCCATACACTAACGTGATGAAGGGGAAAGCACTAGGTAGAAAATGATTCGAGGCGTTCAGGTGGCGGTTTGCAGGGTTGCCTGAATGAATGGGCGCTACGGGCGATTTCGATGCGAAAGAGTTAAGGAACTGGAAAATAAATTGCAATATTTTATCCATTTACTGTTCTATACTGTTGTTGATGGCTGACCAGGTTTCATTTTGCTGCCTGGAAATCTCCAGTTGGTTCTCAGATACTATCATAATGTCTTGTGATGATTCATTCAAATAAAATAACTAATTGGTATGTGAGCAAGCTGTGCTTAACATACAAGTGGCAAGGTAATAATGTTAGCTGAGCTGTGCTCAACATCCAGGTTGCAAAGGGCATTATGTCGGGCTGTGCTTGACATACAGGTTGCTAGAAAATAATACAATAATGATTAATGAAAAATACTACTTTCCGCAAATAAATTTTTAGAATAAAGTGAAAGATGGATGGGCATTGTTGCTCAATACAAAGCCAGACTTGTCACCAAACGATGTTTGTAAAATATGTGGAATTGATTGTATGGAAGCTTTCATCTGTTGCTCATTGTAGTTTCATACATACAATATTCACATCAGCAGCTGAGTATAAGCTGAAGTTAAACCAGATGGATGTACACCAGACATTTGTATAGGAATATAAATTTAAAAAAAACTTTTTTACACAGCCTGTTGTAACTTCTGAAAGAAAATTTTCAGGCTTAAAAAGTGAATATGTGGATGTAAGCAAACAAGATGAATGCAGAAGATAACTTTAATGAAATCGTAAGAAAGCTGATTTATATAAAAAAAAAAAGGACTAATAAGTGTGTTATTTTGTTGCAGTATATATGTTGATGATTTTTTAAAAATTATTAAAAATGAATCTTAAATGCCACATTAAGCCCTGCACCCAAATTTTGAAATGAGGGACTTAGATGAAATAAAGCAATACTTAGGCATTAACATTGAACAAAATGAAAGTGAAAATGTGTCAGTCAAGTTCAGTACATAAAAGAACTTTTGTAAAGTTTGCAAGAATATAAACTCATATCAACACCATTAAGACATTAAATTCTGCAAATCTTTAAACATTGGCAAAGAAGAGGAAGGTGTAGACAGAAGCAAGTATGAGTCCTAAAACAAATTGTTGTTTGCTTAGCTATATCGTCAGGACCTGATGTTCAAATTCTATTAGTAGACTTAGTCAATCTAAGAATAATTAAAGCATTTTCACTGGCTTTAAGAAAAGCATGCATTACAATATCTTAAATTTATGTTAAAACTTAAAATTAGTTAAAATTTATGCAAATCTAAGATTACTTTTTTTGCCAACTTTTAAATTTTACACTAGCATGTTTCTCTTCCAGTCTGCGAATAACTTATCAGAAAATAAATGAAAATATTGGATGTTATGTAGTTGCAACCTCGGCAAAAAAATAATTTTTAGTACTAAGGCTATAGTTTTTAGTACTATTTTTAGTACTAAGGCTATAGTTTTTAGTACTATTTTTAGTACTTATGGCTATAGTTATATTTCAGCAGATTTTTTTTTTTTTTTTTCCTGGAAATAAGGCAAACAAGGAATATTTAGCATTATCCAGCATGGAAGCTAAGATAACAAGACCATCTGTGCTGTTGAATGATAATTAGAGTTCACAGCATTAGGTAGTTTATCTTGTTTATCATTCAGGAATGAAACATAACTGACATTCAATTTTATTATATAAGAGACGCATTTGATAAAAAAGAAATGAGTGTTAAATTATTTTTAGAATTGAAAGGAGAAATGACCAAATAAATTAGGAGACCTTATCAGGCTGTAATACGTTATAGCTCTCATATTTTAAGTCTCATACTTTATTTTAAAGGAATCAGGTTCTTACGTTCGTGTGTGTATATATATTTAAGTATTGAGAGTTCAAGGTTGAAAAAAAACTCCTAGAGGGGAAGTTTTCCCACCAAATGTTTTGCAAAAATAGCCTCATTTTTTTCTTTCATATTTGGTCATCATCTTTTTAATTTACTTATGATATAAATTTGCCTGCAATGTATCTGAAAAATATTATACACAACAGAAGTATTTGCTTTCTTAAGCATTAAATGTAAGCTGCGTGTCCAGTTACAGTATGCACTTCTAGTATTCTTGTTTATAGCAAGTCATGAGAAAAAAAAGAGTTTGTGATAATCGGGTTATTTCACATCTTAAAATACTAAATGGCATATATTGCAAGCTCTTGTATTTATTTGATTATTCAGAGTACATGATAACTATCTTCCTAAGAAGAATGCTTTTTTGGAGTACTTTCTGAGAAAACTGACTTATATTTATGTTGCTTGGGGGGCGGGCCCAGTGCATGCATCCACTAGGCTTTGAGTTTAAATTTTGCTTGCAGTGTTTAGTGGTTACCAGCCATTTGTGAGCAAGTGGATAAACTTCATTTTTCAGAAAAATCCCATTTTCTGTTCCTCTGCTCATTAGTAAAAATAGCACACAGCTTCATTTTTTTTAAAGGCTCTCAGCTTGCAGTCTTTAAAATTTTTTTATTGTATTATTGTTTTTTAACTGATTATTTAATTAGCTTTCATCGTTTTTCTGATTATCAGTTCTGATTTTTCCTAATATCCATTTTTTATATCCTTTTTTATTTATTTTTTATTTTGAGAAATAACAAGCAATCTTGTTATTTGTCATACGCACATACAATGTTTGAAAATCAAAATAGAAACTGATGGGAAGGACAAAGATTTATGTTGTGCATTAACAACAAATAAAACAAGTGTCAAGAAGAATGTAACAGCAAGTTCATCATTAATAAGCTGAGAATTGTAGTGATAAATTAGTTTGTTTTGATTCAGTATGAAAATCTTAAGAATTTCTTTTAGTAAGTGTGTTATGATATCTTGAGAAGTATGAATTTAGTATATATTAGTATGTAACCAGTCAGCTTTAGGGAGTCTTTTTTTTTAATCTTTTCGGCCTACTCAACACTTAGCAAGTAATGATAGTTTTTGTAAAAATTGTTGTGAAAGAGAAATAAGCAAACTTTGCTGCTAATGCAATAAAGTCCTAAGTAATGATTTGAAGTAGTTATTTTCTGTTGCTATTTCTTGAAATTTATTTTTATTCTCAGTAAAATTATGCTTTTTATAATTCATGTCCAGAAAAGACTTTAAAAGAAAACAAACTGCATCAGTCTGCAATTGTTTAGTATTTCCTAAGTTCTAAAACAATTTTAACCCAGATGAATCTCTAAATGTAATACTGTTTGAATTCTCTGATGTTTAAAAGCTGTTTGTATATGAATGAGTATAGCATGCTAACTCATTTTTATTGCACTTGTTATTTTTGTATGATGTGATGATAACCTCAGCTTTACACTGAGAAAATTAAATTTGCAATGATATAATGTGCTATATTTTGTTAATTTTATTGTTAGTTATTTGTGATTTTAATTTTTTATTATCTAATTGCTTGAATCAAATTATTTAGAAAATTGAAGTTATAATGGTGTATTGTTTTTGACTGCAAGATGCAGATCTAAATAGTGATTATTTACATTGTTCATATGAAATTTTGTTATAAAATTATTGTTATCCTTTCCTTAATATTTAAAATCTTGTGTATTATCATGCATTCTTATGATCTTATTTCAAATAATTCTTTTAAAAAGAGTCTGACTACCAATTGTATGCTTAATTTTTCCCCTTTTTTTCTTTGGACACATGTTAGCAATGATTGTTATTTAATGTCCAAGAGATCTTTCAGCATAATTAACCCCTTCCTTTTTTTAAATATTAAAAGACATTCATTATGAATAAAATTGAAAAGAATTTATAAGCAATTTCTAAATAATTATGTTCTTATATTGTTATCATAAATGATGTAAGAACTATCTCTGTAGGGAGGGAAAGTCTTTTTAGAGAATTTTATGGGTTTAAATAGTGTCCTATTTCTATTTAGAAAACCATAAAAACAAGCCTGTAATAAATCTGTTTTGTTATTGAGATATGAAACTGGGATGAAAACTAAAAATAATTTAATTAATGTAGGAATATTAAGCAAGAAAGCTATTTAAAAAATTTGAAAAGGCAAATTAAATTATGTATCATACTTTGAAATTAAAAAAAAGTGTGTATTCTTAACTTTTGAACCATTTTAAATCAGAAAATTTTCTAAAAAAAGTTATTACATGATATTTAAAATTAATAGCATGTATGACATATTATGTATAATTAGATATATACATGATAATCTAGAAATTTAGGGACTGCTCTTATATGTAATAAAAAGTAAATTTTATTATCTTAACAGTTATTCAGATCTCATTTTAAATGATTAATGTAATATTTCAAAATTTTGAACTAATTTATGCAACTCTTGTCTCAGTGCTGTCTTTTTCAGATTTAAAAAAAAAGGATTTGTAATAATAGTTGTGTCATTTAAACAACGATAAGCTGCAATATTTATCCTAATTATTGCTTATTTTATCAGTATGATTTTAACTTTATGCTATGGTTACTTTTATTTTTTTTAATATTTCTTTTCAAATTTAAGGCTAAACTGTGTTCAAAATAATATAGTGTAGGGCATGAAATGTTTTACAGTTTTCTTTTTAAAATTTCTTTTTCTCATTTAATGTAAGTTATGTTTCATAATGTAAAATATCATTATAATGAAGCCCTATAGGACCAGGTTTGTTATTAAATTGGATACATATATGCAAGTTGAGTTATTATTAAATTGAATACATACATGTAGTTCAGTTTGCAAATAATTCACATTTCAAAATCTGTGATTAGTAGATATGTTGTGAAAGTTATTATAAAAAATAAGTAGACATATTGTACTATCAAAAATTT